GCGGCTAAAAGTCGAGCCACAGCAACAGCAACAGCGGAGGCAACACCAACAAACATCAAATTGGCCAATCAAAAGCTCAAAAATAAAATAACGCTTGGCTTTTAACAAGAAATATGCAGCAGGTGTATGTGTGAGTGTGTGTGTGTATGTGCTTGTGTGTTAGAGAGAGATGCAACATTGCAGACACTCTGTGTGGCATTTTATATAAGCCAAACGAGAGGCGCAACGAAATTGCCGCACTTAACCAATAACAAAATTCACAGATTGCAACAATTGAGCCAACAAATGTTGTTACCACAAACATTTTACAGCCAACCAAAAAAAAAGTGTAAGAAAATATGTATAAAAAAATAAAAAACTCATAAACAAAAGACGCACTTGGCCTTTCACTTTGACCAAGCTCATTAAAAGGTTTGCAAAAAAAATTAAGGTTTTAAATATAATAAAAATATGGTAACATATAAAAATATGTAAGAGTTGCGTGAAAAGCATCCCATTAGCAGATTATCTGAAAATCCGGATAAATGAAATGTATAAAATTGTCAATTAAAGTTTTTTGATATTTGTATAGTCAAAATATTAGATATATAATCGATTTTTTGAAAATAATTTCTTTTTCGTAGGTCAATTTTATAATCAGAATGCTCAAGTAGCATCATTTTTTGCTATTAACATAGAATCCTTTTACATTCAAAACAAATTATATTCATCACTACGATTTTCAAATTTTGCATTTATTTTAAGTATAATAAACAAAGGCAAATTCCTCACAATGATTATAATAATTTTTATTTTTTTTTTAGTAAAATGTATTTTAAGATTAAACAAAATATGTGGAGTAAAGTATATGAACTAACGTTAATCATTCTAAAGATTTTAAAGTGACGCAAATAACGGAAACCAAGCTCGAGTGAACGGTTAGTTCAAAAATAAATAAAAACGAAGAACAACAAAAACAATTTATAATTACTCCAACAAACGGTATTTCGAAATGCTCTCATTAGTTCTTGATTTTGTCAAGGGAACATTAGAATTTGCTAAGCTCATTAATAAATGTCTCTTATGAGTACGTTCATTTCTATTGTACATGCAATACAATACATACATGCATATGTGTGTGTATGTATAGGCAACTCATTAGGTGGAGCCTCATTAACATAATAAGCAGAGAACATTAACAGTAAAGCAGCAGCAACAGCAGCGGCAACAGCAGAAGGCGGCGCCACATGTAGCCAGGCCCTGCTATGTGTATCGCATGCAACAAGTCGCTTTACATTGAAATATCCAAAAGTTCACAGGAAATCATCAAAATGTGCAAGCGCAAGTTGAATATATCCAATAAGATACAAACACATACACGCAAGCACACACACACACACACACACACACACACTCTCACACTCACACTCAGAAACAAACAAATGTACGCATGCTGCCAGCTACTGCTGTTGTTGTTGTTGTTGTTGTTGTTGTCTCTGTTTGTTTTGCTCTCTTGGCTCTTGGGTGCCAAAGGGGCAAACAAACAGTGAGAGCGAGAGAGCGCGCGCTAAGAGTACGTCGCTCATACATTTGCAGCCACAGCTGTATTGCTTATTTGTTCACTTTGCCCCTTCTTCAATTGGGTTTTGTTTTCGTTTTTCTTCTTTTCTTATTGTTGTTGCTGCGTGCGGGGTTGCAAAGGCAAGAAAAATCGAAAGCGCCAACGCCGGTGGTGGCTTCGGTCGTGGTCATTGCACAGTGGTTGCCACCCAACACAACAATTGTCGATCGAGCGCACAGATAAAAAGCAAAAGCAACAACAACAAAAGCAAAAGCCAAGGCGAATCGAACTACAACAAATTGTCGGAGTGAAGAGATAAATGCATGTTACAGCTGTTAACACGTCTTGTGCCAGTGTGGCTGGCTGATGATGACGATGACGATGCGGATGATGATGATGATGATGATAGTGATGATGACGACAAGCAGTTGAAAAGTCAAAGTCAAATGCAAGACATAAAACAAAACAGCGGACATAAACCATGTACACCCTGTGTGTACATGAAAACAATAACAACATAAAGCAAAACAAGTTTTCACTTTTCTTTCTTTTGTGATTTTTTTTTTTTTTCTTTTTTTTAGTTTTGTCTAAGACTTACTTGGCCGTGCGTTAGTTAGGATCAGGGTATGGGGTAAGGGGTCTTGCCGTGTGGCATTCATTACCAAACGGCGATTCAATTGCAATTGTTGTTGTTGCAGCGAATTGTGGCCATAATGAATTGCATAAGCCGGAATCGCAATCGCTCGACTACATTTGGTCAGCTGCAGAGGTGAGATTCAAACTGAGAGTGAGAGTGGCAGAGTGAGAGAGAGGGTGAGAAAAGCACAAGATTTGCGCACTAACAAAACTGGCTAATCAAGACGCAATTGAAATAACGCACATAACACAAAACATGACCATATAAAGCAACGGCGCATTCACAAATTCCCAAAAATGGCTAATCGACAACAACAACAAAAATTCACATAGTAAATCAACTACAGCAAAATGATATGTAATCAAGCGCGCACACACACAAAATCACACACACACGCACATACAACATACCACGAATACGGTAATCGCAGCGTGTACTTCATTCATGCATTAAGCTCGCTCTCATTCTCATTCTTGCCCATTGTTTTGAGTGACCTTGCCTTGCCGCTCTTTTCGCAAATTCTCATTCCAATTCCCATTCCCATTCCGATAACCATTGCCAGTCAGCGGGGCACTCAGCGTAATTGGGAGTGGGAACGGCGACGAATTAGCTCATTTACTTATTATTGTAACACACGAGCGAAAAGATAAAACAAAACAAAAGCAACAAAAATAGCGGGAGCAAGCGCGATTTTTTAGCTTGAGCCTAACTGCGTCATTGAAGGCAATGCTCGAACAAAACAACTGTAAACCGAATGAACACAATGCAAATATGCACAAAAAAAAAAAAAAAAAAAAAAAAAAAAAAAAAAAAAAAAAACAAGGGGATTATGCGACAAAAGCTTCCGAAATAAATGTGACGGAAGCAGCCAAGGAGAGAGTGCACAAATACAAGCACAGCATTTCTATGCAATTGCCAATCAAATTGATGATCAGAGCGTGCCAGAGCCATCAATCAACCCGCAGATCAAAAGAGTATCTCCACACAATCTTTTGGGTTGCGGTTGTACGCACACTTTATCAATCATAGCTTATTGTACACAACACACTCAATAAATTCCACCTAGATAAAAACCCCAATTAGAAATTCATTCATTGACGAAAAAGACCAGTCACATGTGTGTGTATAGAGTGCGTTTCAGTATGTCTGCGAGTGTTTTCATAAGGGCTCTCTCTTATGCACACATACATGCAGAACGAACTGAGCGCACAGAGCTAGCATGCTAATCACATACACGAGTAGGAGCAACAAAACATAAACAGCAGTAAAAGGCACACAAACAAAAATAACAGAAATTAACAACTCGCCTGGCAACTGGAACTGAGGAGCTCTGCCCGCTTCCCACTGGCGACTTGCTGCCCGTTGCTTGGCGCCTGTTCAAATAAGTTTCAAATTTTGACAAATAAAACCATGGTTTTGTAATTTACGAGCAGCGGCGACGTCAACGGCTGACGACGACCTCAGTTGCTCAGTGGAGTGGAGTTTCCCACGCCCATTATTCACACTCAGAACTCAACGGCACTCCAACTCGCTCTCCCGCTCTTCGTGCTTGACTCCTCTCCGTGGCGAGAGCGCAATAAAAAGGGATTATGTGCAAGTATGTTGGCATATAGGCATGTTTCGCTGTGTGCGTGTGTGCATGTTTGTGCGTGTGTGTATGTGTGTGTGTGTGTGTGTGTGTGTGTGTATGTGTGTGTGTATGTATGTGTGTGTCTGCGCCTTGAGCAGGAGTTTGAGTGAACCGAAAGAAGCTGCAACATCATCTCCCCGTCTAGACGTTTGATTACCGGCACACAAACACACAAACACATGCACTTAGACACAGGACGCAGCGCATTATGAAGAAGAGCGAAATGAGGAGAAAGCACAAGCAGCCAGAGGCCAAGGCACAGTGAACCCGAATGACGTTAGATTGTCCCCAAATGATAATTGCGTGGCCATTTGTGTTTTATTTTTATTGGTTAGGCGGATTTTTTCGTTTTGAGTGCTCTACGCTTTATCAATTACATATTAATGCGGCATGAGTTATTTTTGGGGTCTTTGGCTTTGCTGTAACAGCAAGATAAGGTTTATATCGGAATTGCTTGGATTTATTATTATGAATTATTATGCTGAGAGCCTTCAGAAATACAGCATAAACTTTATTTTATTTTCAAATTCTAATCACGCCTTTGACTTCAGGGTACGTCTCAAAAACAAATTGCTGAAATAATTCCAATATCCAAATTCAACTCAAATGCAGGCAACTGAGTATTTGCTCATGTAAAACAGTTCCCTTTCAATGCCGCATGTAACGTCCATCAATATTTTCACTCAATTCCAAACGCAATTAAGCTAAGCAGATTTTGTAAATTCCCAACGCTATCTCTGTCCCTCTCGCACGTCGTAAATAAGCAGCTTCCGTTACAAAGCCGATTCGCTGCAATGGCTTAGGGAACAAAGGCCTTGACAATAATATGTTATCTGATAATATTGTTTCTACCTGATGTAACGCTAAGGCGTCAGACGGTGATTTCGTTGCAGTGCATTAATCAACAACGGATTTCCAATATTTCTTTGAGGCATTTCTTAACGAATTTCCTAATGCTTCAACACAAAAGCAACCACTGTGCCTGCTTGAGTAACGGTTAGGGTAACGGGTGCAGGGCCAATGACAAGGCTTGTCAAGGACTGTGCACACTCGATGCCATGCCAAAGGTCAAACAATCAGCACAGCGGAGCCTTGACTTTTGCACTTACGTCAAATGTTTGCGCCGTTCAAATCAAACACTGCACCGAAAAAAACGAGACGTGCTAAAAAAAAGACTCAAATAATAAACTCACCACACAGCCAAATGCTTCAAGTGTCGTCGCCTTCTGGGCGCCCTTTTTGTGCAGTGGTGAAATCAAGATGAAACTGGAATTTTTCGCAGACTGCGTCTTTGCGCGCTTCTGTTTTGATTTTGTTGCGGCTGCTGCTGCTGTTGTTGTTATTGCTATATTGACTGCTCTCTCAGCTGCTTGCGCTTGTATAGGTATTTTTTATATGCTGACCGTGTGTGTGTTTTATAAATCCTTTTGTTTCGCTGCTGCTTTTTGGCGCGCAATTTTCGTTTTATCTCGCTGCTGCGTGGCTTTATCTGTTGTTGCCGTTGTTGTTGTCACAGTTGTTATTTGCATATCACGTTTTGCTGCTTGCCTAATACGAAACAACAGCTACAAACACAATAACAACAAACAAACATAAACACGCATGCACACGCACACACACACAAACGTTTGCCGAAAGGAAGCTGCGTCCGTTTTCTTGTTTTTTTTTTTTTTTTTTAACTTTCCTTTTGGTATTGTATTTCTTTTGCACTCGCAATTAACCAAGTAAATATAATCACATATAGTTATTACTGTTTCTTTTTTTTGAAGCTCTTTAAATTTGAAGCGAATGTTTGGGCTCCGACTCCGAGCGACGGCGACGCGTTGGCGACAATAAAGCGACACGAAAAAATGACGTCCGTCTCGTTTGCACGTTTTCAACGAACTGAGAGTCAAAAGCAAAACAAAAACTCTCAGAGTCCAAAAGCAAAACAAGAAACTATGCATTCAAGAGAGTAGAAGTCGACTTCATAATACACTGCAAACAGGGATAGCCGATTTATATAAATTGTATAACAATTTTATTGCTTTAAAGATATTTGATTGACATAACCTGATCAACTTTGTTGTATTTTAATCAAATGTAAAGGTTAGGTTAAGTAATCAGAATATAATATAATAATGTTTAAATCAGGTTAAAAGTATAATTAAAATAGAAAATATTACACATTGTTGCCACTCATAAAAATTATTTTAATATTATTTTAGAAAAAAATGAACTATATATATTTTGAAAACAATTATCTGCAAAGTGCTGCAGTAATTTCGTAAATTCATTGTATATTAGTTAAACTCCTCTTTTTTTAAATATGACAATTATAATTCACAAATGCTATAATTAATAAAACAAGAAAAAATTCCAATTCAATTAAGTCTAACTATTTTTGTCTTAAAAATATTACATGCAGCAAAAAAATGATATAGAGGGAATATCACATATGCATGCTACCAGCATATCAAACAGCAAACAGTGTGGCAGCGCGAATTCCACACAAAATATACCAACCTATAAAAATACCAAAATGGAAAATGCAACTCTGTACAGAACAAAACCAAAACAATTCTATTTACTTACACAGAACACAAACGTTAATTATTATTGTTTATGCGTCGGACTGTGCAGCAGCGAGCGGACGGGAGCGTAGTGGTGTGAAAGATAAAAAAGCGCGACTCAGCGAAATTAGATACGGGGAGAGAAATTTGCAACACATTCAACATAAATATATATGATATATGTAAATATATATAGCACATGTGTGTGGGTGAATTGTTGTTGCTGATGAAGTTGAATAGATTATAAAACAAGAAGCGGAAACAGCTGTGGAATGCAACGAGAAGAAGATCAGCAACGGTTGCTCAATGAGCAGGAGGAGGAGGAATCGGAACAGCAGTACGATGAGTCAATGCTGGGTGGAGAGCAGGAGAATGTTGGTTTCGTGCCCGCCTTTTTGCCACAGTACAACGACGACGATGACGAGCGCTGTCTGCTGGAGCGCGATCAGGATGAGATCGTCCAGCTGACCAATGCGCCGACCAGTGGCGCTGCCCTAACCTATTGCGTCTTCTACCTGCTCGGCGTAGGCACAATGACGCCGTGGAACTTTTTCATCACAGCCGAAGATGTAAGTAGAGTGAGAGTAGACTAAGTGCAACCTCCCTCTCTATCCATCTCTATCGCTCGCTCGCTCCCCCTCGACCCACTGAGCCCGCATTTGCATTGTGTAAAACACTTGCGTCGCCGTCTAAGACTTTGCTTATCTCCGTTTTGGCATTGTGTTTTTTATGGTTGTTGTTCCCGTTCTCGTACTCGCTGTTATTGTTGTTGATATTGTTGTTGTTGCTATCATCTTTAGTTTCTCTTTGTTTGCGCTATTTTGGTTGAGTCAAGCGCTGCTCACCCCACCCCTTCGTCGTTGCTCATAGAGCAATTGATTAACCGTTAATGCCTCTTTGGACTCCCTCACCCTGTGACTAATTATTTCGACGCATAGGGTATGCTTGACTTACTATGACTTATTCATAGAAAATTGTTGAATATAAAAATCTGAAATCTATTAAGGGAAATACAATATTTTTCAGAGTTTCGATATACTAAATATTTATATTTAGTATACAGTTTTATACAGTAGCGTTTAGTCAGTCTCCCAATCGATATAATATATTATAGATCCATAATAATAGGCTATTTGTTAGTAGGACATGCTATATTCTAATTTGTTAAAGGTCAGCTTACAGGGTATCGACACGGCAGCTACACTTAATGATATAAGTATTGCTTCAAGATATCGCTAAAAAAATTGCACTTCTTACCTTCTTACGTACAGGGTATTGCTGATAGACTGATGTTTATATATTTAATAAAATATAGTAGAGCAGCATAGATATATAGGGTATTATCCAATGGTAGCTTCATTACATTAAATTGTATCAGTTAGTCTATCACACTAAATATAACTACATTACTTCATTATTAAACCACAACAAGTACAGAGTATCTTCAAGTCAGTCCATCCCCACTCACTTACTCACATTCCACTTCAATTGCCTCCCCTTCTCTTCGCAGTATTGGAAGTACAAGTTCCGCAACACAACGCTGAACGGGACCCAGCCCGACGAGGAGCTGACGCCGCTGCAGAAGAGCCTCACCTGCGACTTGGCCTTGACGGCGACCATATCAGGCACCACATTCCTGCTGCTGAATGCCGTTTATGGCCACCATGTGTCGCTGCGCACCAAGATGCTGGGCACACTGCTCACGATCCTCGTGCTCTTTGGCATCACGACGGGCTTCGTAGAGGTGAACACGGATCACTGGCAGGAGCAGTTCTTTCTGATCACCCTCATCATTGTGGTCATACTCAACAGTGAGTGGATAAATTCCCATACATATGTATATGGATTCTATACCTCAGCTCATTCGTCCATTTAAATGCATATTTCCAGTTTCTGCTGCTACCATGTCGGGCGCTCTGTATGGCGTCGCTGGCTTGTTTCCCTCGGAGTATATGACGGCTGTGGTCAGCGGCCAGGCGCTGGGCGGTATTATAACGGCATTGGCCCTCCTCCTGGTGCTCGCCTTCGACACCGGACCCTCGGCCACGGCCTTTGTGTTCTTCATTATGGGCGCGCTGCTCATCCTCGGCTGCATCGTTTGCTACGTGCTGATGTCTCGCCAGGCGTACTTCAAGTATTATCTGGCGGGCGGCGATAAGTTCAAGGTGATCAGCGCCCTGCCGCCCTCTCACAGCCGGGAGGGAGAGGAGACGGGCGTGGCACTCGAGCCGACCTTTAAGCAGGTGCTGGGCAAGATCTACGTGCAGGCCTCGTGCCTCATTCTGCTGTACGCCACAACACTGTCCGTCTATCCGGCGGTAACTGTACTTATGCAATCCGAACATTCCGCCGATCACAGCGAGTGGACTGGTAAGTGGAGCTGACTAGCTGAATCTCCCAGAGATTTGCATCACATTTCAATTATTTCTCTGCCCTCCCAGATGTCTATTACTTGCCCGTGGTGAACTATCTGTTCTTCAATTGCGGCGACTACTTCGGCCGCCTCCTGGCCGGCTGGCTGGAGCGCCCCAAGGATCAGTACACGACGCTCCTCTGGACCGTGGTGCGTACGGCTCTCGTGCCCTGCTTCCTCTGCTCCAACAGCAGCGAGCATCAGTTTCTGCCCACGCTGGTGAAGCACGACTACACCTTCATGGCCATGGTTGTGATATTTGCGCTATCCAATGGATACTTGACCAATATACTGCTCATCATGGCGCCCAGGTGAGTGCCTAGTCCGAATACCCTGTAAAAGACAAACTCTTATATTTGAATTGCGCCTTTACAGATCCGTCAAGCAGCATGAGAAGGAGCTGGCGGGGTCTATAATGGCCGCCTGTTTGAGCGTGGGCATGGTCACTGGCTCGCTAGTCAGCTTGGCCTTTGTCCAGATGCTGTGACCGTTCGATCGCCCCGCCCTTACGCCCCCACTCCGCCAAGCTGCTAGGTGCCTTAATCATAGTCTAATCAAATTAATAGTTAATCAATTATTGTCTCTATATACGTACATGTATTTTAACGTCCCATCTTGTGCCCAAATTTAGCCATGGTCTGTAAGACGGACATATCAAAGCGAAATTATTTTATTAACAAGTTTATATTACCTGTAAGTTTTTACCATATGGATGTCGATGTTTTTACAACTAATAAATTGAAAGTTTTTGTGTATTTTTAAGGTAATTCTGTTTGTTTAACGTTTATTTTGGTTTCTGCAGATCACAACAACAATGTGGATTAATTCGATTTAAATTTAGGTTTTAGTTTTTAAGTTTTAGTTTTCAATTCTCGTATTTCAATTACTTTCACATTTAACTAATCAACTCCAATGTAAATTATGTGTTGTATATATTGACATTGAATGCTTACACAGTTATTTATTGGAAATTACATTGTTTTATAGTTTCATTAGCTTTAAGTTGTTTTTCGCCCTGTTTTCTTTTTCCTTGATTATTATTTTTTTATTCAAACTTTAACTGCCAACTGCCTAATGATAAAGTAGTTGGCAACGCTGTGTTAGCTCTCACTTGAGTCTAACTGCACTTTTGCTCAATTCCTGATGCTTTAAACTTTGATATTGAGAGAGACTAACTGTAGCTGATATTTAACTCAATGTACATAGCTTCGCTTTGATATTTATATTTTACTCAAGTGTACTCAAAATAAAGTTTGACAATATGCAAAAGAATTGAGTCTTTATATCAACAACTTTTACTCAATAGCTTTGCGGCCGGCTTTAGATATTCCCTATGAGTGAGCTTTGCGGCATAGCCCTTTCAGCTTGACCAATGCACATCGAGCTGCTCCTCTCGCACAGCGTTTCACTCGTTGAGTGAGCGAGACCGCCATGTTTATGCAGCTTTCATTTTGAGTCGGCCCAATGCACAGAGATCAAAAGCTTTATTCACTCAATTGGTTATTGATATTTTACTCGAGTGAGAATCGTATTTGCTGGAATTTTGCTTTGCGCTGTATCTTTGTTTTTTTGAGTGACTCTTCAGCAGCCAATTTTAGTTCTGGTTGCACCAATTATAAAGTGAGTTTTGAGCCATTTTTGCGGCTTTAATTAATTAAATGCCTTATCAGCTCAAGTTAAACTCCAATCTCAGGGCGTTTCAATGTATGTAGGGGTTTATTTTTTAACTTGAATTGTATTTTCAGTGCATAACTGTAAATCGTTAATATGCATTTAAACGTTATTTAAATTCTGCTTGACATTTAGAGATCATTTGTAAAACTGTAAATGTATTTTCTATACTTTAACAATGGGGAGCACTTGGTCTAAACATTTAATTAGCTAATTATTTATTTATTTCATTTTTTTTCTTTTTA